CGTGGTCGACGACGTCGTGCTGCAGCGATGGGGGGGATTGCAGCGCGTTGCCAAGGACCTCACCATGGCTGCCAAGGCGGTGGTAAAGGGGCTGGCGAAGGTTCACCTGTCCGTTGCCGTCAAGAAGTCGCGCGTGCTGGCCAGCAGCAGGGGCCTGAGGGCCACTCTTCAGAAGCACCTGGGCTCGACCACGGGTGCGATCGGTGTCAGGGAGGTGCGCAACCTCGGTATAGACTACACGGAGGGCGGCAGGCGGTCTAGCGTCGTCAGGCGGCACCGCATCGCTCAGAATCGACTCCGCCTTCCTCGTATCCGACGGCTGCTGGGACTTCGTCGAGGCAGGGCCACAGCGGCTAAGATCGTCTCGACAGGATTGGCTCCCAGCCTCTTCTATGGCATCAACTGTACGGGGCTCAACAACACGGAGTTGCAGCAGGCGCGCAGCATTGTGCGGAATGCTATCGAGCCGAAGCCCCACGGGAAGTCGCTCACGGCGTGTTTGCTGGTGGGGGGCTCTCCCACCATCGACCCTCTCTTCGCGGCGACGCTGGCGCCCTGCTTCACGTTGGCGCGCGCTGTGTGGGAGAAGTGGTTGCCGCTCGCGCAGCTCAGGCCGGCCTTCGAGTGGGCTGCGAGCTCGGCCACATGCTGGGCGGATGTGCGTGGGCCGCTTGGTGCGGTGGTCATGTCGCTGAGGAGGATCGGCTACGACCCCAAGGCGCTGGACTGCATTGTCAGGCCGAACGGTGCGATCATCAACCTGCTGGAGGTCTCCCCATGGTACGCCAAGCAGTGTATCACGCTGGATGTGAAGTCGTGGCAGATGAAGCTCCTGGCAGACGGCACTCACGATGACGTTCGCAGTGGCATCTTTGTTTCGCAGTTGCGGCGTTGGTTTGCCAAGGGTGTGGGGAGCTCCAACCTGGCTAAGAACTGGGAGCCGCTCAACAGCAACCAGCGAGGGTACGCGCGCTCGGTCTTCGTCCTCGGGCAGTGGCCAAACAGCAGGCGGCACCACGGTGCCCCGCGGATCTCACACACGCCGTGCTGCCAGTTGCATCCTGGGCAGCCTGGCACCCTCTGGCACAGGCACACCGCCTGCCAGGACAGCTGGCCGAGCCTGGCGCTCCCAGCCGAGATCAGCAAACTCGTTCCCTTCAGCACCAGCGTGACCATCACCACGCTCCTTGAAAGGCTGGTACTTCCCGAGCCTCTCCACACGTGGCGCCCACCAGGCGACGACCTCCTCGCGCACGTGCAGTGGCTCAAGGGCGGCGACGGTTTCCCGTTTTCCAACACCACGGTCTACTCCGACGGCGCGGTCTACGAGGCTGGGACCTCGCTGGCGGTGGGGGGGCATGCGGCATGGTGCAGCTGCCCGACGGCGGCGACGACTGGGATCCTGGACCCGAGTCGACCGTCAAGGCCTTGGGCACGCCTTTGCCTGGGCCTTTGCAGTCCATAGACGGGGCCGAGCTCCTGGGGTGCCTGGTGCTTCTCCGCCACAGCCTGCCTCCGATCACAGCGGCCTTCGACGCCTCGTACGTCACCAAAGGCCTGACGGTGAGGGGCGAAGCCAACACCACCAAGGCGACCTCTGCCTGGGGGTGTATATGGCGGCGCGTCTGGGCGGCACTGGACGACTTCGGTGGCATTGGGCCCCAGGGGCTCACGATTCAGAAGGTGAAGGCGCACGCCACGGTGGCCATGGTCCAGAACGGGGACATCACTGCCCGCGACAGGCGAGGCAACTGGGAGGCCGATCGTGCGGCGAAGGTAGTTGCAGCCGCAGTGAGGGCGCCGCTTGAGCTTCGCGAAGCCTGGCAGCGGCGGTCGCTCACTCTCGACGGTGTCGTGCACTGGGTTGCGCGAGCGGGGTGCGAGGCAGCTGACCTGAAGCTGGACATCGACCCGAACTGCAAGCCGATTCACAAGGGGCCGCCTCTCAGCATCACCAGGCACGACGTGTTCAAGGTGGCTGGCGGCGGAGTCCATTGCAGGGCCTGCCTCAAGACGGCGTACACTGACCTCAACATCAAGCGGCTGCTTAAGGATCCGTGTGTGGGCAAGCCGTTCGCGCCCGTGGCAAGCGGCGCGAGGCGCAAGCCTGCTGCGTCGGCGTTGGCTTCTGCAGGTGCTGTGGCTGTGGCGCTGGCGGCGGCTCGCAGGCTCGAGCAGGAGGCTCAGAGCGCACAGGACGACGAGCTCGCGGCGGTCCCCGAGCCCGAGCTCCAGCAGGCTGCGCCGAGCCCCGTCGGCGCCGCTCGCGAGCCACCAGCTGAGGGCACGCGGGCGCTGCGACGCCCTGTGGCGGCGGCGGCAGGCGGTGGCAGCAGCAGCAGCAGCAGCAGCGGCCAGGACCCTTCGCCTGGTGCTGCCCTCATGCGTGCGGTGGCCGCCGCCCGTGCTGCGCGCGAGGCTCAGGGCGTGGCGGCGGCGGACCCCGCCGACGGCCAGGTGGGCGCAGGCCCCGAGGCCGCCCAGGACGCCATGCAGGTGGACGAGCCTGGGGGATCAGGCACCCAGGAGGCTGAAGGAGCGGGCCACGCGCTGCTCAGCATCAACGGATTCAGGATCTGCACGCGGTGCAAGGCCTACGCGAAGGAGATCAACGGCAAACATAGGACGCTCGGCAAGACGTGCGTCGTGGCCTCAGGCAACGCGCTGCGCTTGCGCAACCTGAAGATCGCCAACATCAGGGCAGGCTTGGACCCGAAGACGGGCAAGCGCCTGAGTGAGTGAGGTGGGGAGTGCCTTCGGTGGTCTGGGCCTTTTCAGGCTCGGCACGGGGTGGATGGTGGCTCGCGTGGCCGCCTCACCTGACGGCGCACACCTACGTGGCGTGGCGAGTGTGCGGCAACTTCGAGGCCGCTGTTTGCGGAGCCTCCTGGCCGCATTTTGTGGCTGCCGCCTCCTTGCCCGCCTGGATCGGCTCGTGTCGCACGAGCTGCCTTGGTCATTAAAAAAAAGTGCATCCACTCCGATGTGTTTTACACATGTTGGGCCTGCCCTGGGGCATGAGTCATTCGTATTTTACGCTTGTTCCTGTAGATTGCCCCTCTCCTGCGGCTCCAATCCGCAATGTTTGACATCTGTTCCTATATATTGGGCCTCTCCTGGGGCACGAATCCCCCCCAGGAGGCTCCAGGAGGCTCCTGGAGGTCCCGAGCAGCCACACGAGGCTCAAGGAGGCCTCAGGAGGCTACAGGAAGCCTCAAGAGGCCCCAGGAGACCCCAAGAGGCTCCAGGAGGCGCCAGGGAGCCCCAGGAGCATGCGCAGAGGCGCACAAATATTACCGAGTTCATTCACACTCCAACACATTCAAAAATAGATTCGCTCACAAACCGTCAATATTCAAGCCCGTGTAAGTTCGAGAACTCTTGCGCCTGAACACTCACAGCGGACAGGTTCACTGTAA